TCCAAGGGGCCAAGCCACAACCACCTGGGCTTAATTATCGTCTCTGAGGCTGCCTCTGGAGCTGCTGCTTCCGTTTCTCCACCCGTCTTAGTCTTGCGTCAGGAACAAACTGCCTTGAATCCTCCCCAATGCTCCATGCCTCAGGTGCCTCTTGATGGCCAACCAGCCTCTCTGGTCCCTGCTCTGAATCTGAACCCTGCCCAGGGTCCTCCACATCTTCCCTGGCAGACTCATGTGGTTCCTCGCTATCTGAGTCCATCAGCAGCTCAACTGGATCCTGCTGGGCCACAACACTTTGCACATTCAAACTTCTTCATATTTTAATGATGTCTAGGATCTTACCAATTTGTTTAAAATATTTTGCGAATGGGGATTTTTTTCAAGACTATAAATTAATGTGTGGTATAAAGTTGGATAGAAACTTGAATCTGCTGATTTATGCTAGAGAGCTTTAATTACAGAAAAATATTTTTGGAGATTTTTGAACCTTAATTTAATACACTATGTTTTTTCTCAGTCCCAGTACTCTTGTTTTCTCAATTAAAAAATAAAAGATAAAAAGATCAGAATGATTAAAATACATTTTAGTTGACATAAAAGCATTCTATAATTCCCATGGCAGTTGTCCTGCATAATTGTTCAAAAATTTACTAACCTTCTTGATTTAGAGATTTCAGGGTTTTTTTATTCTTTTTTTGATGTAAGCGATACATTGACTATGAACATATATTCAGAGATATCTGCCAAAACATTCCTGAAAATCTTATTTTATTTGCTTTATTTATTGAAAGTGTGTCTTTTAATAAACATGTATTTATTTATTTACTTTCTTTAAAACCATCAAGAGAGAGGATAGAATGTGATTGGAGATTGTAATTTAGGATTTATATTTTCATGACTTACATTATTTCAAATTCTGCTACAATCTACTAAATTCAAATTTGATTAAAATCTCTAGACATTATTATCTGATTGAATTAAGTTTGGTTGGTTGAACCAAAAACTATGTAAACAATTTAAAGCCATCTCTAGTAGAACCATACTTATCATAGAACTATAGTCTATTTAGCAGCTAAACATAGCAAGTGGGTAGGAAGGAATGGAAACATTTGGTCTAATGGAAAAGATGATGAGCATATATAAACAGAGAAGCATAAAATAGATTGGAAAAAAATGAAACAAAGCAATCCTATCTTGCTTCAGAACCTGGAAGAAGCTATATAATTTTCTCTGTAACTTTCCATTCTTATGACTCCCTGAGTTGGTAGGAAAAGAAAATAATACCAGAAGTTTTGTTTTTGTAGGAGCAGATAAATCTTTTGTAGCTGGCTTGTTAAAAATACTTCACAGTTTCATAACTTTTAGCCTAAATGTATTTGATTAAAAGCATCTATATAATAATAAAAGCATGTATACTTACTTTTATTAAAGAAGCATAAAATAATAATCTATCATTAATGCATCAGTACCAGTTACAGGAGCATGGCTCTTTCTCTATATTAAGTTATGTAGATGTAAACTCATTTCAGAAACATCAAATGTGTATTTGATCAGAAGCAATGCTTTATCTGCCTATGCTAGCGCAAGGATTAGCAAAGCTAAACTGATGTATAAGTAAATATATCTCATTTGCACAGCATAAGATATACTTTATATATAAACCAGCCCTCCGTTGGTGAGAACTGCTCTGATTATACCATTCACTTGTTCAACTGTAAAGCTGTAGACAATTTATCTTTTGTTAGTGTGTTGTTGGCAGGGATGTTGGCTTCCCTCTTGCAACAAATCATAGTTTTTCTCCACCCTTTGGTTTATTTCAAATGGAAGAAACTAGAATATTTTCATGGTAGGCTAACTTAGAAAAAATTTGTTTATGGAATGTGTCTATAGGCACAATCTGAGTTTGTTCACTACTATGCTTCTTCTCAGTGACGTGCGGTGAGGTTTATGGCTGGTGAGGCACTGACGCCATCACAATCTTTTTATTAAAGTGCCGTTGTAATACAGAGGGTTTAATAAAAGGATCCGCACCATTTTGTCCCATTCTTGCACATTTCGAAGGGGTGGCAGGCAAGAGCGTATCACCGAAGACCATATGCGTTGACCACCAGTGGCTAACAACAACAAAAAAAGAGATTTGGGGGGGAGCGAGGAGCCGAGGAGTTCCTTGTTGTGTTTTCCACAAGGGACGACAGTCCCTCCGCAGGAGAGAGGAGAAAGAAAGAGAGAGAGATGATGATGATGATGATAATTAAGTATCAAAAGCTTTTTGAGTTTGACAATATCCAAAATTGTAAATAATCTTATTTTCAGATGCATTTTTTGCCATGTCTGTTATTTTCTTTTTTAAAAAATCAGAC